GAATTGCGACTTTCAAAGCGAGCAGGTAGATAAAGAGGTATTTGGACGAAAAGACAAACGCATCCATATTGATAGGTGGAAATAACAATAATCAATATGCAGAACACTCCGCCTCGTCTAAATTCGCATTCTCGCCAACGATAGAAATAAATTGATTATTATCGATATGTTCAAATTGTTTTCAAATGCTACGATCTCGTGCCTTTGATTTCTAAATAAAAAAAAAATAAATGCTCTACACATTTGCCTTTAACGAAATAAATACTATTGTTTATAAACAATTTTTTATCGTATAAGCATATATATTAGTTTGGGAAAAAAGAAATCCATTATTTTTATATGCACTTCAGGACTTTATTTAACATGTACCAAATTTTCTCTTTGTTCACTTCCATTTTTAACACGCTGTAACTCACAACTGAATGCACGAAACAAAAAACAGCAAAAGAATTTTTTTTACTGCGAAATGTCACCTTTCCAATGAGCATAAATCTGAAATTGTTTGATCGATACTTTACGAGTAATCTATCAGTGCAGGCATCTACCGAAAAAATAATGGATTTCTTTTTCCCCAAACTAATATATATATATATATATGTGTGTGTGTGTGTATATGTAAAGAAACATAAATTTTCATTTTATTAACTAAATTTTTGTGATAGAAAGATGCATTAAACAAAACCGCAATTGCGGTCGGCTTACTCGGAACACTTTCTTCTTATATTTAATAATAATGTAATAAATATATTATGGCACCAACAAGAGTGAATAATAGCTCTATACTTGGTAGTTGGATTCAACGGATTTTTTTTCGTCCGTTAAATTTTGAATTCGCTAAAAAAAAGAAAAAAATTAAAATGTATTTTGCTGCACAACATAAGTCTCTGAGAATGTAATCATTAACAAACGCACTTAGAGCGAGCCAGTTACGCCTGAACTGATACTCTGATACTCTTGTGTAAAATTTTCACAAAATTGATTGTTTTTATGTCTTAAAAACACACTCCATAAATTTTACATATGTGCCAAGAGAGTAAACATAAATTATTTTTAAAGTTATTCAAATGTTCATTGATATTATGAATGCATATACACACACATATATATATATATATATATATATATATGCTATGGATGTTTAATTTAAAAACAAATTTCATTGGAAATATTTGAATATTTAAGAATCATATATAAATTTAACTAAACTCATGTTTTATCTCAATTTATTTTTACGTTAATTATGAAAATTATGTTGAATGTGGCGAGTAATTTCAATACTTAGCTATATTTATCAAAGATCTCAACTATTTATTTATCCTTGGCTTTCTGTTTGTATGTCCTCTTACAGCCTGAAGACTTGATCTCACCTTTTTTTATTTCATATTGAGAACGCAGCAAATCGAACATTTCGAATCGAACGCTATACATGTATACATATGTATATATATTTATATATAGAGCCGAGAGCCGATAGCCTGTGTTGCTAGTGCTCAATGTCTCTTTTTTTAGTCTAAGAATTCAATTCATTAGTCTAAAATTAAAATAATAATAATAATAATAATAATATTTATATATAGAAAAAGCTCCTTATTCGCGGGGTATACGTTCCATAAAAATGCCGCAAATACAGAAACCGTGAATACTTATGGTATGGTAATTTATATGGGATTTTAGGGGATACGTTCCTAGGTGATAAAATAAAAAAAATCAATTTAATTGAAATAATTTTCAACATTTTGATTAATTATCTTAATAGGCTTAGGTAATGCTTTGAAGAATTTTTCAAGTTTCTCTTGCTTGGCATTTTTTAAAAGTTCCTTCAATTCAGACTGATATGTAGCAGTCGCATTAGCAATTTGCCTCTTAAAAATAAGACTTCCTTCCATAGACAGATCAATGTTCATAAAGAAATCGCCAAGCTCATTTGCCATTGTTAAATCTTCACTAAGATAATTTTCAAATTAAATGTCACGTTCTTGCTTGCGTGCTTGTTGAAGCCTCTTCTTCAATGCACTGTAAATTTAACATTTCCTCCAAGTCGGTTTCAGTCAAATCTTCATCTTGCGATTTAAGCAATTCCTGAATGTCACTTAATTCTATCTGTTCGAATCCATCTTGCTCTATTCCATTCGCGATTTCGGCTATGTTTGCAGTCACAGTTTGAATTGCCCAGGTTCTTCCTGATTTTCCGCAATCAGAATAGGCCACAGTTTTGTCCAGCATGACTTCAATGTGTGTGGCTTCAGTTCTTCCAATGATTCTTTTATGTTCACGATGCAAAAATACATTCCATATTATTCAATATGATTTTAAAGGTAATAGAGCTTAAAGGCCTGGATTATTGCTTGGCCCATAGGTTGAAACAAAGCCGTCGTGTTGGGAGGTAAAAATGTCACTTTTATGTTTGGATGCATAGTTTCAAGTTTTCGAGGATATCCTGGTGCATTGTTCAAAGTCGAAATTCTGCTTTTGTTAAATAAGTTTCAACTTCAGAAACAAAACAATTCCGGAACCAGTCACAAAAAATCCGCGAATAAAGAAATTTATAGTCGCGAATATGGGAATTGGGTCGCATTTTTTTAATCCGCGAATAGTGAAACCGCGAGTAAGGAGCTTTTACTGTATATATATATATATATGTATGCATCGTGTTATAGAGGCAAATATATTCTTATTATAGATCCCCATAGACTCATACTTCTCTTGAAAACTTGACCACGATCTGAAAATTTTGCGTGGAAAAGCAAATGTGATCTTAGACTTCTTCTCTTCTTGCTACTTAGCAAGCTCGATGTTTAAGTTCGCTTACAATACCAGCCAAAAAATAGAAAAATGCACATTTAAATTAGGTGCGGCGTATGCATCTGCCGATTTGTATTGACGCATTGAAGAAGACTGTTAATAAAAGTGCATAGATTATAAACAAATAATATATAAATTAATTTTGTGTTTTATTATTATTATTATTATTATTATAAATTTAGCCAGAGAATAAATTCAAAGACTAAACTCTTAAAAGCACTAGCATCTAAGACTTTCGGCTTTTATTAAAAACTCTACCGTACATGACATTTGAATCCACGACCATTGAGTTGCTAGGCGAAACTCTTGCCTACTCGGCCACTCAGGCGTATTGTGTTTTATTATTTCTTCGGCTTGCGAAGAAGGTGAACCAATTTATTTGGGGAACAAATTCTACATTAAACGCACTTTGTTCGCTATTGCTGCGGATGACTAACAGTGTCATGATCGCAATGCTATGCTAATACTGCGGTTCGTGTTGACAATATTTCAAGACAAATATGTGTAGCAGTGGCAACGTGCTGAGTCTTCGTCTGCAGTAGAGACAACACTTGGAAAACATTAGGATGTATGATGATAACTTACTTATAAAATTCCTTTTCAATATATTCGTAAAAAGAATATATATAGTTAATGACCCTACATCTATCAAATATTCATAGACAGAGGTATAAATGCTAGATCACCGTAATAATAAGCCGGTCGGGACAATTTTTGCACCGAAGTTGGAAATAGCTTTGGCGAGTATTTGGTTAAGCAGTTATCGACGCCATGGCTTTGCAAGATTGTGTTAGCAGAGACAACGAAACACATAAATATTCCAAGACTTGTTTCAAAATTAAAATTTGAGAAGGGTTTGTTAGGGTATTTTTGCTTATCCGCCATCAATAACAGTAGTAACGCTGGTAATTAGCAGTTATTTGTATGCTCGCTATCTCATTCTTATTATTTATATGGGCACGGATTCTGTTAATAGTTCGTTAATATGACGTCGCATTCTCTCAAACACTTGTAAGGGAGAGCAGCCTATACAGTTCTGGGTTTTTAGGTGAATATGGGCTATGGTATGCATATAATTGCGTATGTATTAAAAAAGACCAAGCAGTATATATGTTTGTAGCAAATGAAAATTGTTTTCTTTTCATCGTTTATTTTGAAGAATTCAAGAATTCTTAATTCTATGTTTGGCAAAAGCTTTGAAAAATTTCATTCAAAAATTTTCATAACAAGAATTATGAAGAAATTGTTTATTATTAAAAAAAAAAAAATTATATTATCGTCTACTATGTATAATATATATTTATTTACTAATTTACTTATGTTATTTATGTATTTATTAATTTTATTTGCTGGCACATATACATAACATACTCTATCCAATTTTCCATATCATACATGAGTTGGTCTACACGGTATCTATTCATATTACATTATTATTATATTCGAAAGTTAAACAAAACAAAGCCATTTTTTCACTTAAAAAAGACATTGATTGTGGAAAATTGGTTCAATATATGTTACTCAAAATAGTTTCCATCATTTTCTACAATATTTTACAATATGTTCGGTAACATGGTGATATCATGTCGAAAGAACTTATATTGGTTTGGCAGCGATCCACTCATCGATCCATTTTCCCACTTCTTCAACTAGGCGGACAGGGGTGCCAGCCCAGCTATTCTGCAAGTCGTCCGAACAAATGATAATCAGGAGGCGTCAAGTCTAGTGAGTACCATGGGTGCGGCAGAACTTCCATTCGAGCTGCAACAGTGTAACCGGGACATCTCTTGTAAAAAATGACCAAAAAATGGCATTTTCAGTCAGTGGCGTGTCGCCGCCTTAAAACTATTGAAATCAAAACTGACAATTGGAAAATGATGGAACAGCGTTTGCTGGGCTTCGTGAGAAAATTTCTTCAAATAAACAACAAAGTAATTAATTTGAAAGAAGAAGAATTTTGAGCACGCCATAATTAGCGTCAGCGTACGCTATATTAAATGGGAAATTGTTATTCTAAGTAGAGAAGGGTCAAAATCATCGAATTTAATAATTATCTGCCCTAATAGATTTCACTTGTTTACCCTTTTTACCTGTACAAGTCACTTGCCAAAATTTTTGCAACCCCCTAATATTAAACAAAAACGTCAAATGTAGTCCTATATTGTCTCCTATAAATATTATTTTCTATTTATTTTCAGGGCGGCATATATCAGCTGCTTGCGGCATATATAAATCTTGGATGCATTGTTACTATATTGCCTTGCTTGGCTGTTCATTATGGGCGTTAAATAATTGGAGAAATTTATTAAATTAACATCCTTTCGTATATGTGTTATGTTTTTTTTTTTAATTGTAATTAATTTATTAAAAGAATAAAACTTAAATGCAAATATCAGCCAAATATCATTTATAAGCCGCTAAGGTATACATACGTATGATATAAATGATTTTTGAAATATTTTCAAAAAAAAAAAAAAGCATAAAATTCTCAATATATTTTACTTTAGCACAGCACAACATGTCAAAAACGCCATTTTCATTTAATACGATAAACAGTAAAATATTAGAGACTAGGAGCTTGAGTTTTATGTGAGAGCAAAAGTCACAAAAAAGTAAATAAAAATGTATTCAAATCGTACAAATATCGATTTTATTATTACTATAATTATTATTATTACTTTTGACTTATGATGTTCAATCAAAGTAAAGGAATGAATGCGTATTTACTTAAATACTATATCCAAATGTGCTATAATAACTGTATAAGTGTAGTTAAAAATTAAATTTAAATGCTTTTATTAGCATATATTGTATTAATTCGTGCAACCATACCGTTACACTTGTAATACTTTTTAGTAAATTATAAAAAATTAATAAATGAAAAGGAAATATATATATATATATATTTATATATATATATGCATAACACTTTTTTTTTTTTTTTAATTCCTTCTTGATTAATAAATATTAGCTTTGGCTGAAATAATTTAATACCTGTTAGTTGCTTATATATGCTAATTGGGCAAATATTCTCTCCTCGCTTGCTAGTAAGATGGTAATACCATTCGAAAAAGCCCTCTTTCTTCTTTCTCTTCAAATAGTCTATTAAGCGGAAACTAGCTAACTTTTTCCCATCTTCCATACCCTTCTTCTACTAAGAATTTACATTCGAGAGCAAGCTTTAATATCGTAAACTTATATATAGACAATTCAAAAAAAAATGCATGCAGTTAATTTTGTTATATCTCTTTCTTCCCTTCACACCATGCCCTATTTCGAAGCAAACTATTTAGAGATCAAATCATGCGATACTTTGATACTCTTTTTCATACCTATCATCGAAGCCTAGAGGGGTGTATTCTTTGTCAAAACATTTGCAACACCCAGAAGCACATTCTTAACCAGTGTTAAATTTAAAAAGCCCTTAAATATATCATCAAAATAACTAAAAATTTCAATCATTCATTACGAATTGTTTTTTTTTATATCATTCACTATTTAAAACTTACAGTACAACCTTTTTCAAAGCTTCTACATCGC